ACTGCATGCATGCAACGATGAATAGCCCACCCGTTGCAACACAGACGTTTGTTCAAATAATATACCTTGAACAAAAATAATAATATTATTACATGGCAGTGACCTTCAGTGAGAACGGAAGTGCGATGAGTACTTTTCAGCCTACAGAACCTTCTTCTCCTTTTTACCATTCATGATTTTAAAAGTGAAGGAAATATTGGTCAGGTCCTGGGCAGAGGGATCCAAAAAAGCTGTGGGAGCCTAGAGAACTTGCAGCAGACAGCTGCAGTCTTCGCACTACTTGAGACTGGGATGTCCATTTGGAAGAAGAAGAAGAAGAAGAAGAAGAAGATGAAGAAGGAGGAGGAGGAGGAGGAGGAGGAGGAGGAGGAGCAGGAGAAGGAGAAGGAGCAGGAGCAGGAGGAGGAGGAGGAGGAGGAGGAGGAGGAGGAGGAGGAGGAGGAGGAGGAGGAGGAGAAGGAGAAGGAGAAGGAGGAGAGGGAGAAGGAGAATGAGAAGGAGAAGGAGAAGGAGAAGAAGAAGAAGAAGGAGGAGAAGAAGAAGAAGAAGAAGAAGAAGAAGAAGAAGAAGAAGAAGAAGAAGAAGAAGAAGAAGAAGAAGAAGAAGAAGAAGAAGAAGAAGAAGAAGAAGAAGAAGAAGAAGAAGAAGAAGAAGAAGAAGAAGAAGAAGAAGAAGAAGAAGAAGAAGAAGAAGAAGAAGAAGAAGAAGAAGAAGAAGAAGAAGAAGAAGAAGAAGAAGAAGAAGAAGAAGAAGAAGAAGAAGAAGAAGAAGAAGAAGAAGAAGAAGAAGAAGAAGAAGAAAAAGAAGAAGAAAAACGAGCAGCAACAGCAGGAGCAGTAGCTGCCTGGTGTCACAGGTAAATAAATTTGCGAGAAAAAGACCACCGAAGTTTAATGCATTCCGAAGTTTGAGTGTTCCAGGTAACTTCCAATTTACATTTCATGTGCCTTTGATTAACATTATTCAGTAAAATCCACACAGAAAATATGTCAAAATTTCTCTAAACTAGGAATCTACTGAGCAGATAGAACGTTGTAATTCTGAGGTAGCGACTAATCTATAATATCTTCAGTGAAACTCTTTCCCAACTCACCCTCTCCAGCGTTAAAAATGACAAAAACAAAAAGATACAAAGTAAAGCAACAGGAAGAAAAGGATTGGGTTGTACAAGTAGTTTTGCAATAGGGCGTATTCTTTTGTTAGCTATGATTATGTTTTTCTCAGTCTTTAAGATGTCATTTAAAACTAACGAGTTAACCTTACTTAAGAATTTCTACTCACAGATGTTTCCGTTTGATTATCAGATACCATTGTCTTCATTTGCTTGTCTATTTTCCACTTCTTTTTATCTTTACGTGCCACGATGTCGTCTTGGCTGGCCATTCTATTGTTATGCCTTATGTAAGGGAAAAGTTGATAAAGAATTAACTATTGTAATATGACACAATACTGACTCATTGTTACTACTGTGATACTTGTACGGAGAAGAACATACTTTTGTAGGGTTCATTTAGTTTAAAAAATGTAAAGTTGCAAAAATGGCGGAGTATTTGGCAAAATAAACCCAAGGTTCAGATAAGCCTCGTAAAGGGAATCGAACCAGATCTGTCTGAACCACAGTCCCGCATATCACATGACATTATCTGAAGTAAGAAAAGGTCCGTTAAAACGACAACGTGGAAGGGAAATGTGAAGTGTTTTAGAATGGAACACATTGTGAATGCTCGATAAGGTGGTTTAAGAACGTTTCTAATATAGATCGCCAACACAAAAACATCATTGTTTTTGTAGAATACATTTTTATTCCATTCACTTTCAGCTTTTAGATTTTAAATAAATGATAATCGAGATGTGCCTTTCCTAGCAATACATTTTAAACGTTCTCGTAGGTTGATGTGAAAGGGTTGGCCTATTTTTCCCTGGCAAGGACGGCTTCTCTCAGCGCGTCCATCTGAGGTTCAAAATAAATATGGTTGTTTTCCGTACAGTATAAGCACATACGATTTCATTATAATTTCTGTTCTAAATTCTTTGTTTTGTACAAACAAAACCCCTTGGGGACACATGATACTTGGATAGTTAAAAAAAAAAAAAGAAAGAATTACCCGCAAACAGGTTGCCATATGAAAAAAGAAGAAAGCAAGAGATCTTTTACCTTTATAATACAAAGTATGACTACATGATTTGAGTAACAATGTAAATTAACACATTAGTTTGACTCAATATATTAACAGAGACAAAGAAAAACACATTGCTTAACAATACAAGTGCAAGAACGATAATTTACGTTCATTTTAATAAAGACAATAATTGATACAAAATTATCGGTTTATAAAAGTGATAATAAATTGGTGCAGGCAGTTAAAAGTTATGTGAATTAACCATGAATTGCAGTTGGATGAGCTATAACGCTTTCTCTTTTTCTTCTCCTCTGTTGGTATTGGCTCTGTATCCCCCACCCACACTTTTTAACGCTAAAATGCCACTATCGTGTCTATGTATATTGTCGTACTCAAACTTGAACTCCAGAATTCTCTTCCCGGACGTGAAATCGGCGCTACTGGGAACCTTAAACAACTACATCAAAAACAGGATGCGCTCGAAATAGTTTGGGTTAAGTGATGAGAACACATTTCAAAGTAACGGAGGAGGGATGTAACAAAAATTATTTGATAGAAATTGTTCACAGTAAACTGTCAAGAGTCACGGAATCATAGATAAATTAAAACCAAAAAAAAAATTAAAGAAAAATGCAAATGTGTCTTATAGTGTGTCTATTGGAACTCCGTATCGCAGACAAATAACTAGATTAAGTTAACCCCCACCCCCCACCCCCACTCCGAATAAAAAAAAAAGAGTATGCGAAAGAAATACAGGAGCACAAAATACCCCAAAACGAATTAAGCAAACAAAAATACACACATAAATACACAAAACAAAAAGACGACAACAGCAACAACAATTAAAACGACAAAACAAACCCCAAAACAAACAGGGACAAATATGTGAGGCAGCGTGGAGGAATCAGGCTCTCGTCAATTTTTGAGCATATTGATTTGATTGGTATCATCTTAAAGCTTGTTCATTTGTCTTGCTTTCAATGAAAAAAATAACCATCCATCTTCAATAGAAGTGGAGATATTTTGGATTGAACAAGGTGGGGGTCACCTGGTTTAAGAGGTAAACTTAGCGAGAAAATTGCTGCCAAAGCTTGGAAAGTTCCGAAGCTGGAGAGTCCATGGAAACTGTACATTTATATTTTTGAGCCTTTAATCAACGTTTTCGGTGAAATCTTCAAAGGAATGTGTTTGTAAATGGACATAAAAGGTGTTGAGCCAAAAAACACAAATTTGATAAAAATTGCTAAGCAGGGAGAAAACTGCTGTTTTCTTCGATTTAATTATTTTGACGAGAGCCTGATTCCACCACGCTGACTCACATATATTTTTCAAAAGGTTTCTTAGCACTTATGGATTTCGAGGCCATCTCTAGCTGTGACATACACCAATAAGCTTTTCCCGTAGCCACTCAGAAAGGCCTTGACTCATTATGAGGTTAACTCAACATTCTGTCTTGTGTCAGATTGTACACAATAGTTAGCAAAGATTACTAAGGGGAAAAGACAGTGGTCACAGTGTTTAATTTTCTTCCTTGTATGTCTTGATTACTTTTTTTTTTTCAATTTGTCTTCAAAAGCTGTTATTTAACTTTGTTAAAATTTAACCCAAAAATTGCCATAGTCACACACAGGGAAAGACGACAGTTGCAAAATCTGCCCCCCCCCCCTCCCCTTTTTTTCCAAATTAAACAAAAGGGGAAAATATAAAGACACACTGAAACTCCTCTGAAACATTGCTCAATTGTTGTCTTTAAGTGGTGAGCCTTTTGCCTTGACCCATCACAGGGGGGTAAAGCCGTGACCCACGGCAGCTGGCAAGGTTCTGGATCATCATCAGTTCAGGATTGACAAACTGTTATTATGATTCGTATCAGTGACATGACCTCGTCAACCAAAGCAACTGTTCACATTTTCTTTCTTCAACTTCTGATATTTTTCTCATTGCCGTCTTCAATTGAAAACAGCAAAAAGAGACCGGACTAAAGCTGAAGAAGCGACATTGGGACGGTGAAATAAAGCGCGGCAACGGTTGAATGTCAGAAGGGTTAAGTGTCGGATTTTTTTATTTTTTATTTTTTGGTATCGTACCATCGACACTCTTCAGATCCTTACAGTGACGGACTACTTTGACAGTGTCCGCCAGCCGCGACTCCGACTGAAAGGGATACAGTATCTCAGCAGAAAGATAAAGATACTTGATATAAAAAGCAACAACCTCCCCAACCAGGAATTGAACTCATATTTTCTGCGTGCATTGGTGAAGAGGCTAGTCATTAACCATCAGAGCTAGGTTTCATTGTTTTGCACGTCGTTGTGCTCTCACTGTGTGTTTTGGGTCACTGTGATGTAACCCGGAGTGGAGCACAGACAGACAAGTGTACTGGCAAAGTCCGACAACTTCAGCTCCAGTATCGCGGACGAGTGTAATCGTCAGAAAAATGACCTAGATCTAGATCAAAACAAAGGCCAGTCGAAATTTCTCCTGCATATTGCATAAAATTGTGTATTTCTCGTTTTCTATCTATTAGTTCCGTTTGGACATTTGTGAGGCATCGTTGAGAAATCAGGCGCTAGTCAAAATTACGAAATCGGAGAATCGCATTTTTCCACAAGTTAGGCAATTTTAAAAAAAGTTTCTTTTTTTTTTTTAGCTCAACCCCATTTATGTCCATACAAAAACATATATCCATATACATTTTTTACTGAAAAACGTTGATTAAAGGCTCAAAATAAGTCATTTTTCATTTTTCAAGAACTCTTTAGCTACAGGAGTTACCAAACCTTGGCGGCAATTTTCTCGCTAATGTCCCCACTGAAACCAGGCCACCTAACCTTCTTCAATTGCAGATATCTTGACTTTTATTCAAGATAGATGGGTATTTTTTTAATTGAAAGCAAAACAAATGTGTAAGCTTTCAAATGCTACCATTAACTCCACATGTGCAAACATTGATGAGCACATGATTTTACCGCGTCGAGACACATTTGCTTCTGATTTCTGGTAATTAATTGAGAATAATAACAAAATGAGGTCAAAAGGTATTTCACTGAAACTGAGGTGATCGACGAAATTTGTAAGGACGCAGACAATGACGCGGAGGTTGATGACTCCGGCAATCATCTTCCTTGTTCGGAAAAGGAGTTTTCAGATCAAGAAGAAAGTGATGTAAAAAAATAGATAAGGAACCCAGTATCGCTGGAGCAGTTAAAACCATAAGTAGATTTAGATCTAGTCTTTTACCTTATTAAGGATATGAGTCTGGACAAAAGCTTACAATTACATATCTGATGACATCTAGATGACCGAAACCCAGATATGTTTTCAATGAAAACGTGTTGTCGCATTGTGAAACATAATGTTTTAAAACGTATGCTGAAGTATCATGCTTGTAACTTTAGTAGTCTAGGGGTTGAGTTTTCATATTAGACTAACACATGTTTTGTATAGTCAGAAAGTAGGCTGTAGCTTCGGTCCTTGGGACCTGAGAGACAAGTGAAGTCGGTCCAATGCGACGCTGCTCCCCTCTTGGAAGGGCGCCTGTCTTATGCCACTGCATCTATTGGGTAGGGATGGTATGTTTGAGAGTATTTTTCACATATATAGATGCTATTTCACCGGCGTTTATGGTGTAGCATATAGGTGCTTCGAAGGGACAAGCTGAAAACTACAGTTCGATTCCCAAGTGGGGAAAGTTTTCAATAAATTCTGGGAGATTCTGCGGAGTTGGTTTATCCTTCTCAGCACGAGTTGGTCATGATAGGCAAAATTAAAGCCCGTCTCTTGAATGATTTAAATCCAAATTATGTTGTTAAAACACCTATATTAAAATGTTAAAAAACATTTTATTCCAGACTCTTGAAACCAGACTATCGACGTGCGCTCTCGAAATAATAATGTCTCGTGGGATTTTGCACGCTGATGGATGAGGCTATCTATACCATCTCATAGCAGATTAGTACCACAGCTGGATGAGTCGCCAATGCTAGGTTAATTGGCGAACCTTGTATCAAGTCTAATAAATAGAGATTCGAACAACTGATGTAATGCATAGGACAATGTGATGCCATGTTCTAATTACTTAAGCTGGCCTATTGCAGTGATAGCAATTTCAAAATAATATATTCTTTTGTTGACAAGGTCATGAATAATGCCTTCTATCTAAACAAACAGAGTTGCAAGTGTCGCAAAACTCATACAAAAACAAAACTATTTGTTTCTACATATAAGCCTTGCCTAAATACAAAACAAAAAACGCTCCAAAATATGACAGACGCTTTCAAACTTGCTTTGAACTTCCTCTTACCATCCACTTAGGACGGACAACATCAGCGCTGTCTCTCCGAGGCTCACATCTCCCAAAGTACTCCACTCACGGCCTGAGCTCATGTAAAACAGCCTATCCCTCGTCTTCAGAAGTGCTGTCATTTTGGCGTGACTCTCTGCCTAGTTGGTCGCCTATCAGACCCTCTCTTTACGTGTATACGAACAAACGCAGATACACACACATATACTCACACACGCACACCCGGGCGTATCATCACCGGAATTAACCAAGAGCTCGGGAAGGAAAGGAGAAGGGCCATCGGGAAAGAATGGTAAGTCTATTTTTCCGCCATTACACGATTGGAACTTGTGCGTTTTGTAGCTTTTGGGATGATTAGAACGATTAATGAAGAAGACTTTTGCTTAAATATAAGATCTCAATCTCAGTTAGAACTGGTCGGTAATTAGATTAGATCGTAAATATGTGTTTTTAGCTGTTATCTGATTAGTGTTGTTGCCTTAGCAGTGTGTTTACCCTTGCCCCTCTTGTGTAGCAGTGTTGTTATGGGGCCTGTTATCACAGTGAGAAAGAGAGAGAGAGAGAGAGAGAGAGAGAGAGAGAGAGAGAGAGAGAGAGAGAGAGAGAGAGAGAGAGAGAGAGAGAGACCTTCAATATTTTAGGTATTCTATTTCTCTTTAACTTTGATACGGTCCTGACTTATCTACGGGTGAAGTCTATAGCCAGCATATTTACACTAGAGTGTTTTTGGATTGCTCGTTTTAATATGAAGACTACTTGGAAAGGGGGGGGGGGGGGATTTGGCTTTAATAAGTGTCTGGATTGTTCTGCTTCTCCGTCAAAACATTTCTTTATTATAAAGGGTCTCACAGTGGTGACACATTTAGAACAGTCGTACAGTGCTTTTCTCCCTCATATTTTCATACATTATTCTTGAAAGGCTAAACTGACACTTTAGGAAGACAAGCAAGGAGAAATTAGAACCCGATAGTAGTCATATTAGATACTCTCTTAAAATATCAAAATAATAACAAACAATTTTGTAGCGAACAGACCCACTTTAACCTGAATAGTTTTTTAAAAAGAATATCGTCACTCATCTATGAAAAAATCCCAAGCTTTCGAGCATTAGAGTCCGCCTCGTAGCAAAGCTCAACAAGATGTGTTAGTTTTACTCTTTACTTTTAAAGACGTGTATTGAAAATAATTTATTGAAGACATGAGAATAACACAAAAGTTAAGTTTTCATTTTTACACAGTAAATTAAAAACAAACAAAACAACAACAAAAAAACAACAACAACCCCCTCCCCCCCACCGAGAATGAGCTATATTAATGCGACATGCTCTAATACAGCAAGACGTTTAAGTTCCTACTGCGGACATAGCCCCTTTGTTGTTATGCCTTCTTTGTCAATTTTAGTAAGAGTTTTACGGCACTTGCATCACAGAGAGGTCGAATAGTTGCCGAAGATAAGAGGTGTTACAAGAGAGTAACAAACACGAAATACGAAAAAAGAATGGGATGGGGGTGGAGTGGGAGGGGGGGGGGAGATAAGATCGTTAGATGTTTAACAGGAAAGAAGGAGCAAATCATACAGAACACCCGCTAACCATCCAATAAATACCTTCCTTTTGATAAAAAAAATTATGGCTGATACTACTTGATTATGATATAACTAGCACTAGATTTCTATCTGTCTGTTGTGGCTTTCTTCAGGGTGTGGTTTTGCATTAAGCTGTCAATTTCCGTTATGAATTAGAACACATGTGTCGTAATTTTTTTTCTGTATGCCCACACACCATTCCACTTGTTGTGGCCTAGAATGTTGCGTCGGTTTTATAGTCCATAGTCGCAAGCTTACTTTTGAGAGAAATGTTGTCTATAAGAGTAACGATGGGGATATCGTTTAGTTGGTTGTTTTATCAAAGAAAAGCATAGGTCAATAGACGCAAGAATGGTGCTCTAATGCGAGGAGAAAAAGAAGACACGCAGACAGAAAAAAATGTTATTCTGAAAGAAAAGGGGGAGGATCTATCAGCAGCGCCCTACAACCGCTCACTGTCTAGCAGGGACTTAACGTGCTTTGCCAGTGAACTCCGTTTAAAAAAACCCAAAAAACCCAAACAAACAACATCAAACAAAAACAAGAAAAGCACTTGCAAAGATATTATGTTCTCTTTTCAGACAACTACTGGTAGGTCTTTTCTTCCCCGTTATTGTTTTTTTTAATGGTGATAATATAATTAATATCTTTTTCCCTGTACTAAATGGCCATTGTTGTGTTACTGTCCTACTGTTTTCCTCCTCTTCTTTATCTTCCTCTCTCTCTCTCTCTCTCTCTCTCTCTCTCTCTCTCTCCCTCTCTCTCTTTCTTTATCTCTCTCCATCTCTTTCTTTCTTTCTTTCTTTCTTTCTCTTCATTGTTCTTTATCAGCCCTCTTTCTCTTAATGATTTTATTCTTTATTTTGTAATTTTTCTTTTTTCCCCCTTCAGTTTCGCCAGTGTCTTTTCACCTTTGTTTCTCTCTTCTTTTTTGTCATAGTTTTTCTTTCTTACTATTCTTTTCCCCGTAGTTTCGTGTATCTATTTCCCTTCACCTCTTTTATATATCGCATTCCTATATTTAGCGTAAAAATTTATGAGATACCTTCTAGGCTTGTTTTGTTTTATGACAAAAAGCCTTTTTCTGAAAAATGTAAATTCTGTGGGAGCATGCATGTTTGCTTGAAGTTGACAAACTAGAATAGATTAGAATATTTTTTAATGGAGATACATTGCAAATAATGTGCTATGAACCTATGCTACTTCTTACATTATTACATCCTCATTATGGATTGCCCTAGATTTCTGATGAGAATATAAAATTATCTATTAGACATGAGGTTTGACGTACCATGTGTCTTGATTAACTATTGAAGGTGTAAAAGGCTGCATCACTTGAGGAAATAACATACAGGTTGTTTAAAAAAAAATCAACACATTAAATTATTGTTTGGCTGTAAATAGAACATTTTAAACTGACTTTTTAGTCTTGAAAGGAAGTTTAAGCATGCTAAATGATATTCGATAGACATTTAACATTTACTGAATTACTCTTTTCGAAAATAACTTTTACTCCTAGGCTTTCACGAGTGAACAAACAACCCTTTCAGCGTCCCTTCCCTTGCTGGATCAACTGATCGATGGCGTCACTGACAGCAAGGAGAGAGTCCACAGCTTGTCTCAAAATATTTCTCACAAAAGAAAACTGGCAATCAACGACGACAATGAACAGAATTCTAAGCGTCTTGTCGTGCCTGAGGCGCAGAACAAGCCCGACAAGGGAGAGAAGAGCAGTTCGCCTATAGAATACACCAAGGTCTGGTTGTTCCCCTCTGAAATGTCGACAGCTACTCTTCCAGTCTCTCTTTCTGAGTCAATTGACTCAAAGCATTCAACCATTTCTTCTGTATTCAATCTGAAACCTCGTACAGAAAACTCTAAGTACGACCTATCCTCTCAGTCTTCTGAACCCGACAATCTACCTAGAGCAGAGAAAGTGGAACCAGTAGATCTGAACACAAACAAAGACCCATGCAACTTACAGAAGTATTGGCCTTTGAAGACATCACTGATGAAGCCAACCCCATCGAAAAAGTCAAAACATGACAATTTGCCAGATAGCAGGGAAATGAGTAAAACCACTGACGTAACAATTTCTAATGAGATAAATAGTGAGAGCTGCAATGGGTATAAAAAACTGGCCAAAAGCAAATGTCAACAAAATGTTGCAACTTCGACTTCTATTCAGATCACTCTCATAACTCCTAACAAAGGCGTTACACAGAGTGGAGGCATCATGAAGTCAGTGGGACCAACAAAGCAAGGCTCGAACTCCTCTCAAACAAAAGACAGAGCATGGGAAAGTGGGTCACAGGCTATGTATGTTTACGATGTGGTCTCAAAAGCTTCTACAGACAATCTTGAGTTAGCAAAGTCTATAGGCTCTGTGGACTCTGGGCATGCAGCGCCGTCTACACTTGCACAGTCAAAATCAGAAATACAGACACATGTCATCAATTCTGACGGCTTGACCCCTTCCGGGGGAACAACAAACATTCCAGAATTGATCAGGTTCCCGGAAGTAGACTCAATCACATCACTGATAACAAGCAGTCAAGATTACCCTCCATCGTGCATGTTTTCAAAATCAAAATTCAAAACGTCTCTTAAAGAAATGCCAAATACAACAACACATTATAGAGGGGTAGATAACCCGTTGATGACCATCTTCAATGAATTAGAAAGCGGGGAAATACCACATTTTCCCATTGAAAGGAACAATCCTCTCTATAGCAGCTCCGATATCAACTCTGATAAAAGCTATGTTGTGCCCTCAAGCTACTCGAACCCAATTTCTCCTTTTCTTTACTCGACATCGTTGGGCGCTCAGGACTCAAACCAGCAACCCCTGAACCTGATACAGACGCCTCATGCCAATCACTCACCTGCATCTTTCCCTGCCACCATACAAGACATGCTCTCTGACCCGACTCTAAAACCAGCTCACAACACTGGGAATCTACACAGACCCACATCCTCCTCAGGCACTGGGATGGATCTGTCTTTGTGCAGCACCCTGCCACCATCAAACGCTGCTTTGTCATCAGTTCCCATCCCTATGGGGAACATGGACTGCTCTGAACTATCTAGAGTTGCCTCTACAGGTGGGCTTATGGCGAATGGCCAAGGTGGACTCGCCTCTTCCAACGACTTTTCAGTACAAAACCCAACGATGTCCTTATTTCAAAATGATGCTATGTCTACGTCAGAGTCCATCTTGATGAGGTCTGGCAGCTCCCCGTCCACGGAGGAGGATGGAGTGATCACGAAATCCGAGTCAAACCAAAGATGCCAGAAGAACAAAGACATCACACGCTCGTTGTTCAAAGGCACCTCCAATCCTTTCGATAGCGATGAATGTAACTTTAGCTCCGACCAAGGGCTGTACTCTTCTTATGCTGATTGCAGTCATCAGGGGAAGTCAGCTTCTTTCGATGAGTTTCCCACGGCAGACAGTTTTATGTCGGCAGACATACCGTCTGGGGTGTCCAGTAGAGACCTGAACTGTACAAAGACCGCTGTCACGTCACTAAACAGCAAAAGCAACTCCAAAGGCGTGGTGGTACCGGCAGGTAAATATCTAAAAATAAGCATTAAGTTTCAGCTAGTATGAAGCCATGAAGCAATGTCTTTCTATTTGCCCTCATCTTCAGATTCCACTGGTAATATCACAAAACCACAAAAGCGACACAATAGAGAAAGCGTTATGTGAGTCTTCCTGGTGAAATCAGGCGCTAGTCAAAAAACTTATTTAGAAGAAGCAAACATTTTTTTGCAGTTTGACAGTTTGACAATTTTTATCGCTTTTTTGAATTTTGACTCAACATCTTTTATGTCCATTTAAGGG